GCCCTGTGGTGAGATGGGGAAAGGGCTAATACTATCATGCCTTAATCTCATCACCCTGGAGCTGAAGGGGGAGGTCTTTGTTATGTGGAATAGACAGTCTCAGGCCTTTTAATGGCCCATTGACAAAGGTGGAGGCTCTTAAGAGTGATTCTATTTCCTATCTAAAAACAAGTTTCTCCATTTCTGATCCATGGAAATATAATATTCTTCCTTTTCAATATTTCCCAGGAGATTCCATTTTTCTAGAAGAGGGGTGGGTTTTAAAGTTTTAAAGTTTTGTATGTCTACAAAACTAGACATACCCAATTCCTGCAACTGTTCTTTATATGTTTTAGCTTCCAGTGCCCTAATCGTCTTTCTTGCTTTTCTCTGTGTGTCTGTATATTTTATCCAGCAATTCTCTTCATAAAATTGCACGTCATCTCTTTCTAAAGTCAGGGAAATCTGCCTGGGCAAATTAGCAGCCAAAGGAACTTTCCCAATTTAAGCTTTCTTTTTAACTTCCTTTACAAGTGGAGTTACTAAGCCTGCATGCCAACCACAGGTATTAATGCAATTTGAGCTTCCTGGAAAGATTTACTCTCCTGAAAGCTTTTCCCGTCAGATTCTGTCACGGGTCCTGAGCAGAGTTGGCTAAGCTTCAGAGTAGTATAATAAAACTTCTGGAAACTCCTTACGGAAATGAGACACCATGCAGTGGTCACGATAAATTAAGACTGATAGCTAAAGGACATCTGTGCAAATGCAGTAATCACCCGTGACGTTAGGTAATTTAGAATATAATCTATTTTCTTCCTGCAGCTTCCTACCATTGATTTGGGGCTATGAAAAATGCTATAAGGTACTCCCCTATGGGGAATAACAGCAATTCTCCAGGGGAACTAGGCAATAAACTTTATAGGTATATTAAACATTTAGCTCTGCAGATCAGGTGTGTTATTTTTTATTTCCTATAAATAAAATTTAATTAACTTATTTCCTTTAAAACATAAAGCTGGACATAAAATATTCTATAAACCAAGCAAAATTGAAACATTATATTGTATTGTATTGTATTGTATTGTATTACATTACATTACATTACATTACATTACATTAATTATATTGGAGGTCTTGGAGGTCTTCTAGTCCAACCCCCTGCCTAGGCAGGAAACCCTATACCATTTCAGACAAATAGCTATCCAACATCTCTTTAAAGACTTCCAGTGTTGGAGCATTCACAACTTCTGGAGGCAATTTCTGTTCCACTGATTAATTGTTCTCACTGTCAGGAAATTTCTCTTTAGTTCTAAGTTGCTTCTCTCCTTGATTCATTTCCACCCATTGCTTCTTGTTCTACCCTCAGATCCCTTGGAGAATAGCTTGACTCCCTCTTCTTTGTGGCAACCCCTGAGATATTGGAACGCTGCTATCGTGTCTCCCCTAGTCCTTCTTTTCATTCAACTAGACATACCCAGTTCCTGCAACTGTTCCTCATATGTTTTAGCCTAGGCTTATTTTAGTGCACGTGCTCAAAAGCCTGATTGGGGTTATTATGCAGGGAGGTCTTATTTTCAGGGAAACAGAGTACATGATGGGTAGTTCTGGTGCAGCTGACCACATGAAGTTGAGAGTGCGTGGTTTTTATACCTTCTCTNAATTGATGTAATTACTTAATAATACAACATGATATTGACTATGTAATAGTATACATGTGATTATATGCTATGAAAATGGAAAATAAATAAAAAATATGCAGAAAAAAAAATAAGAAAAGAAAAAGCACTTTTGGGACAACCATGACCTGGATGACTGAGAATCTCCATAGATAAATATCATTTTTAGATATTGCTTCAAGGGCCCCAATCATGATTGGTATAACAGTGGGTTTTTTCCCCCCTAAGCATTTAACTTCAATCTGCAAGCCTGAATATTTCATAATACTTTTGGATTGCTTTGTTATTATTTTAAGTAATAATACCACAACCGTCATAAATATGTTGCCAAGGGTTCAGATTTTGACCACGTGACCATGGGGATGCTGCAACAGTCGTAAGTGTGAAAAACAGTCTTCCATGTCGTTTTAACTGTCACTAAATGAATTGTCGTAAGTCAAGGAATACCTGCAATTCTAAGGCAACCTCTCTCGTGCCAATCTCTTGGTGTTTATTGGACCTTAATTTCAGACTCAGACGCAACCGGTTATTCCACCAGCGCTGTGTTAGCACAGGATGAATGCTTGAGAGAGGAAGAGGTATTGGGTTTTGTTGAAATGTGTTTACTTTGAATTTAAGACTCGCCATGCAACTTTGCTCCAGCAGACGTTCTCAGATAACACGAAGGCCAACATCGTTCGAGTGCTAGAGGCAGTGCAGAGCAATAGCAACGGAGGGGTGGGGAGCCAGAATCTGTTAGTCTCTGTTTGACTTGCTTGGTGAGTTGATGCTAAAAGATGCCTTTAGCAATAGCTTAGACTTATACGCCGCTTCACAGGGCTTTACGGCCCTCTCTAAGCAGTTTACAAAGTCAGCCTATTGCCCCCAACAATGTGAGTCCTCATGCTACAAACCTCAGAAGGATAGAAGGATGGGTGAACCTTGAGTCGGTCAGAATCAAACTCCGGGCAGTGGGCAGAGTTAGCCTGCGATAGGCATTCTAACCACTGTGCCAGGATGGGATGGGATGGGATGGGATGGGAT